AGCTGGCTGTGTCACATTGGTGCCCCTCTTTTAATGTCAATACAGCTACAGAGTGCAATCAAGCAGCCTTTGGCCCATGAAACAGAATGGATTTGGCTTTAAGCTCGGACAGACTTAACTGATTGCAGACAAGCAAGCATGAGGGACTAAGCAGATCAAGACCGCAGTGTTACATGCTCACTTTGCGCTACTATAAGCAACTGCGTAAAATACAAGATGCTGGTGAATGGCCCAAAGGAGAGCACTATGTTTTTGGGTCCAGTTTGAGCACTACTGCTTTAAAACACATGCCAGGGTAGGGGGGAGCCTGCAAAGCAGCCTGATCCAGGCATGTATCATTTTACAGAGGTTCTATAAAAGGAGGCATTTCTGACTGGCAGGAGTTCGGCCTAGGCAACAGCAGCCATACTTGGGAATTAGCAGCTGAAGACATTTGGAAAATGGATTTGAATGTTTCTCTGGAAATCCCCAAAAAAAGCTTTCATGTTATTGGCACCAATAAACAACAGGTGCTGGGTGAGCCATGCCCCTGAGAGCCATGGGCGATTGACAGGGCAGCCTGGGGTCTTGCGGCCAGATGGTTTTGTGCTAAGAGGTAGAACAGAAAGTCAGAGCGCAGGGACTGCCAGCTGACCGGGCACACTGCAGAGTAAGGACAGTAAGAGAGATGAAAGTTTTCTTTCTATTTAGTTTTAACCCAATAGAGCGGTTTTAAGGAGAACAGCTGCAAGAGGGATTTTCTTCACTTCCTAATTGTGGCAGCAGATTGTGAACTTCAAAACCCAGCCAGATTGAGCCATGTCAAGGCAAAGTGCCAGCTGCGCCAGGCCACATGCAGAGCTGGGGTGAGGAGGCCCATCACTACTGAGCTCCCCATGTCTGGCTCTCTGCTACTTTCCACTCTGCAGTCATTTGTGTGAGTGTGCAGTGCTACTATTCTAGCCTGATAGCAGTGTACACCTTTACTGCACTGGTATGAACAACTGCACCAGGCACAAAGCAGTGGACCCAAGAGCCTGATGACACCAACCCTACTTCTGATGGGTATATGATCAACTCAATGGGCAGATCCTGCAGCAAGAGGCAGCCCTAAAATACAGCTGTAGCAGTCACAGGGAGAGTCCCTGTACAGAGAGCTCTTTAAGCAGCTTTATGGAGGGGCAGTGTATTCACGTAGCGTACTGGTATAGCACAGTTTCTGTTCTGGCCACAGGCAACATGCTGTAAGCATAGCTGAGGAGTCCCAGTGACCTGCACCAATTTTACATCTAGACACGGCTGGTGCACCACAGGCACCGAATTGAGGGAACCATAAGAGGTTGGAAAGCTGGCTACACCAAGGGCTCCTTTTCACTCTCTGGGTTACTTTCAGTTGCTTTTATACCATCTAAGACGTCTCAGAAAACATCTGAAAGGGGCACTGCAGAAACAGTCCAAGCAACCTACCTGTTGAGTCTCATAACACACCCTGATTACATGGGAGTAATTTTATGCTTGCAGAGCACAATTTGGGCAGCTCCCAAACACAGAAGTAGACGTAGGATCAAAGCTACAAACTAAGCCAGCAGGCACAGCAGTTTGGGCCCGTAAGTGTACAAGTTATTCCTCAAGGTCTGGCCCAACATAGCAATACACTGTTTTTCTGCATTGCTATTACAATCCAAAGTTATTGCATTGAAACTAAAGAGGAGGTTAGACAGGCCTCTGGCTGGGGTCATCTGAACCCAGCACTTTCCTGCCTATGCAGGGGGTCGGACTCGATGATCTGCTGAGGTCCCTTCCGACCCTAACATCTATGAATCTATAAATAGCTCTCAATTCTAATTTACTTCTGGCCGTTTGCACTGTTTGTTTTGTGTGTACACTTCACTCTGCTGGGACGGAGAAAACAGAGGTTCATTTTAGTTTCACTTTCTCTTCCTCCAGCCCTAACCAAAACTCCAGCTGCTCACGGGTCCCCGCAGTGCATGGGGAGGTTTCAATTTAAGAAGAATATTCGCTGTGGTTTGGGTTACTACTAGTCATTTTAAGAAATTGGAGAAAACTGCCTCCAGTCCAAGCCTCAGCTTCCATTTTGGGCTTCACCTATTAGTCAATCCTTTTGGCTTGCAGAACCATAGAATCCAGCCCACAAAGCAAGCCAGGGATCAAGAACTTAGACACTGGAGGAGCAGTGGCAATTAATAATGTCACCCTCCCCCAATGCCAAATTCCTAAAAACAGGCTGGGACCAGGAAATACAAATTCCTACTCCCAATCTTCCTCCCCATCCCCAGTAACTAGATCAGGCCTGGGCCATGCTCCCTCCCCGCCTGTGGCTGGATCAGGGCCACATCAAGCCCCCTCCCCACTCTGTGGGGCTGGGTTGGAGCCAGGCTATATCCTACAATCTCCACAAAGCCAGATTGGGTCCCACCACAAGCGCCCCAGGTGCAGGATTGGGATCATCAGCCAGATCCAGAATGACCAGCCACTGCCCATCCAGCCCATCAGCCAAATAAAGATGAGCACCAGTGCTTTTAATACATTAGCCTCATCTGTTAACATCACCATAGGACAGGTCATGAATTATCTATTAACTACTTTACCATGTTCCATTATGGCATCTAGGACCCAGCGGACAGATGCAGTTGCCTTGTACAATGTGTCCTATAGTTGGAACATTAGCACTTTAACAGGGATAGCAGTTGGGAAAGGGCATTTTGTCCCTGGTACCAGGTACACAGGCAGCCCCGTGTGGGTCATCTGTCCTTTGGTAAGTTAGGGGTGCCTAACACAAAAAAGGTAAGGGAAAGAAACAAGGGACTCCACAAGCAGAAGTGGATGACGACCTGCTCTTGCACTCCTAGAGCTTCCAGAATTCCACAATGGCATGAGGAGAGATGTGGGGTCAGCAAGGAACGCAGGGTTGCACTGCAAGCTGGCATTTATCTTGCCGATTTTTTTTTTTCCCCCCCCCTCTCAAAACAGAGTCAGATCCAGAGCCAAACTCTTGTTCAAAACAAGCACCTGATGCCTTCTTGTGGGGGAGGAGGGGAAAGGGGAGAAGAAACTCGCGTATGGTCCAATTCATGGCACCAAGGTAAATTGCTCTAGCTTTCTGCCAACCCACATTTCTCATGATTAAAATCATGGCTGGAGCAGACTGCAATGAAATTCTTGTTTACTGATGCTTGCAAATAACAAGATATATAATCCCCTCCCCTGGCCTCCTCAGTCTCCAGGTTCCTGTCTCTTGGCAACTGATAAATAATTTAGTGCTCATTGTCATATGTACTAAATGTAGCCTGGCTGGCTTAAATGATGAAACCAATGCCTAAAAACTAGAACACCGTCTTGATCACAAGGAACATGCAGGCAGTTAATCTCACGCTCCTTCATATGCAAAACTAAAAGCGAACGATTAAAAAAAAAAAAAAAAAAAAAAAACTCTTCTGAAAAGAAGCTATTTTTCCCCACATATGCAGCTGAAGTTGCTATGTGAAGTCACAGATAAGAATAAGCATGTGATTACATGGATTACAGGTTTGAGCCAAAGCCCACTGCAGTCAAGAGTGGAGTTATTTATTTTCAACTTAACATGTAAACAGTTTTGCTTTGAGCAGCTTTTAGGATCATCTTTCATTATGTGCCCCAGTGTTCAAGTGTCAGAAGTATAAAGATTACTGGCTGCCTTGGACGGAGAAAGCTGTTGTTATTTCCCATGTAAGCAAAGCCATAACACACAAAAAAGCCTGTCTACCTGGAACACTCCAGCTCTTTGTACCACAACCAAGACTTCATTTCATAACAGATGTTCCCCAAGTCCTTCCAACACAGCCATAACTATTTATGAAAACTAATGTGTTTCAACCATACACAACCAAACATATGGTGGGAACACTGTTATGGCAACACCACTTCTTACATCCATAAATGGGTTGCAGTGATATTGCCTAGGTAGCTGTGTGACTACAGGCATGAAAGGAAAGGTAAAAATGGGGGGGAAAGTTATACGAGAGAGAGAGAGAGAAAGAGAAAATGTTATGATGAATTAAGAATAGGGCAGGAATTCAATACTTTTTCTTTTGTCAACAAGTCAGACATTCATTCATATGTCACTTAAAACTGCAAACCAGCAGTGCTCAAAAGCTTAAGATAATGCACCCATTTTCTTAATGCTCTTAGAAAGGAAAACTATCAATATTCACTTTCTGAAGTGATGAAAAAAAAGCACTGCATCAATCATTAAACAGTTAAATGAAGGCAGTATGACAGTTGCTATTGTTCTCTTGAAGCACACTTGTCTTTTCCCGAGCAGCTGCCAGATCCTATTAGATGTATAAAGAGAGGACTTTTCTAACTGAGCAGGGATGGTATAAGCTATTGAAAGCGGTAGACAAAAGCCTACTTTTGCCGACTATTCAAGCCCTGTATAACATCTGTCCAAAAATCAATTTTTGACCTAATGTTACTTTCATTAAGTATCAGACTTTGTTTCCAATGCAATTTGCATTTTAGACCAAAACTAGAACCCAAGTTCAGACCAGAACTGTAACCCAAGTGTTACTACATGGGAAAGAGGATGGAGGGAGTAGATCTCATTCTAGAAATAGGCCCTGGTACTTTAAGTGTCCTTACCGACTTTGATACCTTAAAAGTTACAACAGTAGAAATTATGTACCACTTATTTGGACTCTCCTACATTCCTGAAATAGCCAAAGCGGCAGGAAGCACATTGGAAAGCAAATTACTCATGATTTAAAAGGAACGTGACTTGATGTGTTAGGAAGTTCTGTCCAAATCATATGAAAACTAACATAATACAAAACAACTTTTGAAATCTCCATTAAAAGAGAAGCACTCTGGCAGTTACAGAGGCTCAGCCCCTTTTTATGACCTAGGGTTTTCTCTTGCATTTAAAAAAAAAAAAAAAAAAAAAAAAAAAAAAAAAAATGAGGAAGTCGATTTATGCATTCAACTTCAGCCGGACTGTTAAGACAAAAAAAACTTCCACTTACCCAAAGGGTCTCTGAATAAAGGCTGGATGCAACTGCTGCACACCTATGGTAAAACCTGAAAAAGAGTATTTGGAAGCCAGAAGATTAAATAAAAAAAAAAAGTGTCCATGGTAACATGTAAACATGCATGTAGGTGTGTACACACACCCTCCCTCCCCTTGTGGGAACAATTTTTAAACACTTAACAAAATACCTTTTAGAGGCAAAGTGATCTTAATACGTCCATTAAATGCAACACGACTTTGAAGCGGATTACAGCTCTGAATGGGGAACTTATCAAAAATGCAGTCGTCAAGAGCTAAAACACAGCAAGTCATTCTACACAGTGTACAACCAACCCACAAAATGCAGAAGGCAAGGCGACGAGATGCACATGAGCCACACAACAGTCACAAAAGGAACACGAAGGAGCAAAATGCACAAGCGTTAAGGGAACGTCTGTTCATCCCACTTCCATGAAACTACCGTAGTGGGTTCAAGGAAGGAAACAGGAAGCAGACAGATGAATTATACGGTGCAGCAGACACACAAGCAAAACTATCAGGCAGGTGCGGACCTTCAGAACGGATCCGTGCTTACAGCCTAGCGGGGGGATGCACTAGCAGGCCAGCAAGCAGCACCCCCTACTAAAACTGAGGCTTATTTTAATGCAAAAAAAACCAAAAACCTGCTGGGAAGTTTACTACTGCGGCTACCTAAACCCGAGGCTTACTCTAATGCAAATTAAAAACAACCGCTGGATTCCTCACCGGTTTGAATGCTCCGCGGTTTGGCCCCCAAATACGCCAGATTCACATTCGCTTTCCTGCCATCGATGATGGGGTTGGGATCCTTGCACGCTCGGTCGGCAGCCGCTCGGTCTGCCATGGTCACCTGAAACCAAGCACAAGCTCAGGGCGGGGGTCATGAATGTCCTCCCAAAACGAAACACGGCCTCAACTAAGTCGGGGGGGGG